TTTAATGGATTTAAGCTTCTAAAGTAAATGGTTCATATATTTTTTGAAAATGAAGTTCGTAGGAGTCCAACTTCGATGAATAGGATAACGTAATATTATTATAGTAGACAATGAAAAGTATAATAAAACCTGGGTTATGTAAATTAAAGAGTTTTGTTTAAGATAATAGAATAATCGAACGATTTATATCAGAGCTACGTTCTCTATGAAAAATTCTTTCTAGTTATGTAATATTTCATGTTTCGTTCCAGTTGATAAGATGGTACGCCAACGTTCTGTTGACATACTAATGTATAATGTAAAAATGATCTAGCAATGGTATGTTCGCGATATTCTAGCTTATGTTTGACGGACATTGTATATTCACAATATTTACCCGAGTAACCGATATTCGCATAACATAACGTCTAAACAACCGATATTTCTAATTGTCAAGGTCATACTTATTAAATTTGTGTACACGTCTTTGTGTAGAAAATAGAATAGAAATTCGCGGGAAAAAACGATGGTCATTTCAGGAAAACAAATTGTTCCTCTCGAATATTCTTTTAATAAAAAATCTGAAGATTCGAATTGGAAACAAACGAAATGAACTATAAACGGTTTACTTATTTGATTTTCGAAGATTTTTTCTCGTGCAAGAAAGAATGTTAAAAATTATTATTAAGTACCGGATATAGTTTGTGCGAGTTAAATCAAAATATAAACGCAGAGAACATTTTTGTAAAACAATTTTATTTTGTTTGAAACTGACATAAACATAACTTGCCGCTAATAACAATGTCGTTCATTGAACTAGTGAAATACTAATTAATATCGGACGTCAATTCGTTGCTAGCGAGAACACAGCACGAACTTTTTTCGGTACCTAATACTAATTAAAAACAGTCTAGAAAAATAATACAAATGATGAAAATAATTAAAAACGAATAAAAAATAATTAAAATATATTTGGAAAAAGTAAATTTTCTTTATATCACATTTTTATAACAAAAGTTACATAATATTTACGTAATATTATTATTTCTTATGTAACATCAGTATGTTATACGAAAATGTAGGCAAGTTAGACGTTACGAAGTATATTTCATGCAATTCATTCATAGTTTTACAAAAATATTATTTTACGGAAAATAAAATTGCTTTCATACGTAACACTCATTCAATTAAAATCCACAATGGTCTTGTTTAATGGTATTGCGACTTGTAGCGTGTTCCATGTTGTTTTCATGTATCATACAATGGATTCCGTCGTGCTAATCTATTCAATGAACATCGTTACGCCCGCAACGTACCAACAATAACTGAAGCAATATATTCGAGAAGACTTTAATCTTGTTTTATTTACTTTCTGGCAGACGTGTGTCGAATGAGAATGTTGATAACTGAGTTGCGGATTCCAGGTGTATTGCCGAGGAACGAGGGACGCGTTGTTTCGCATTCACGTCAGATTTTGCATTCTGTTTAATTTGCAAATCAATCGAATCCACGATTCCGTAATATATTTCCTCGGGACTAATGCTATCTGATTTTCAACATTTGTTCTTCGATACAACGTCGTTTAAATATTCCATATCTGACTTTTAATGTCATCAACCAGACTTTAACCCCTTTCATAAAGTATTGTGTCAGACGCACGAGGAAGATATTAAATGGAAGGCGATAAAAATTTGTGTCACTGAATTTTTGTAATTTTGAATATTATTTTTCTGTTATCAATGATTACGCTTTGAGGTAAACCCAGAATTGTTTTCTGTTTCTAGCAAATTATTAAGGATAATGTAATTTTAGTGCGGTTATGAAAGAAACCACAGGGCAAAGGGTTAATATGTTATAATACATTTTTTTTAGTGAAAATATTTTTTTTTTAATTTATACAAATACATTGGTATATTTAGACGAAAAATGTTGATGCATTAGAATCAATTTACACACTTAATTTCATCATGTTACTTTTTATTTCATATTGCTATTTGAAATAACAACATATTTAGCACAAACACATAAAAATTATTTATTTCCGCAAATAAAGATACAAAACTTATCTACACACATTTTTATTATCAAGAAAATATATATATGTATATTCTTTCCTTAACAGAATAACTATTTGTCATCTCTATTTACTTCTATTTTAAACGAGAAAAATTCAACCATGATAATTATTTCAGTATTGTATATGCCACGGAATAAAGTGCCTTCCTCATCGAAAACATACTGATTAATTATTTCCTTTAACTCATGACAACAACAAATAAATGCAACGTCCGTCAAACAGATGAATCATAGAATTTTCCTTTTTATCACTAATGATCCTATTACTTGTCTAATACACTATCGATCAAAAGTTTGAGACCAATACATCGGTTAAAAGAAAAACTTACCAATTTTTGTAAACAACTTTTATTGGATAATTTTTGTGTATGATATGGGATCATGAACATATGTATATTACACAAATATAAAGAGATATCATTTTTGTTATTTTATTTTATATATTTATACGATACATTATTTTTCATTTGTGACGTTACATATCTAGTGGTCCCAAACTTTTGACCCGCAGTGTATGTATATTGTTACGTTCCATTCGATTACATGAAAACAGCGGACATCCATATAAAAATTGTAATAATAGATTATTTTCAGTATATTTAAACATTCATTATAATATTTAACTGAAACTATTTCGAAATAATTTCAAATATTCAATGCTTTTGAGATATCAATAATTGTGAAACAAGAAAACAGAAGCCAGTGATTTTACTCGTACCGTAGTTCTAGTGTTAAGAATTCGATGCATTCAGTTTCTTGTGCAAAGGAATGTTAGAAGATTAAGACAGTATCATCCGCAAAGAGTTGATACAAAATTGTCAACCGTTAATCGTAAAGCAAAAGTGTAAAAATTAACCCCACCTATACCAATCGTTATTATATAAATAAATCTCTTCTGCATGTACAGTAGCAGCAGCCGTTGATACTTATAATAAACTACCAGAAAACTGTAGTATTTAAGAGGAATTGTAAAGCAATAAATAATTTGTTTAACAATAAGTAAGTATCTTTTTGCAATACTTCAATAAATATGCAGATACCCTCCCTCACTTTCGCGGTTGCTTTATAATTGTACAATTCGTACATGTACAGATTATGAACTCTGCGTATTTTACATTGAGTGCTTTTTTCTATGCGCGCATTTCGCTATGCGCGTTTTTTTCTACGTCTGTTTTTTCCTATGCGTTATTACAAAAATTGAGATACTTATTACTATTAATATTTAATTATTATTATTTTTTTTATTATCCATGCTTTTTCTGTACGAATTTTTCGTGTGCGTTCTTTTCCTGTTCGCTTTTTCCTCGTTTCCGTTCCATTTATATGCATTCACTAATTGAGTCACTCAGAAGCCAACGCGGTTAAGACTATTTTTTTATATTTTCCGATTTTTGTAAATTTTAATGGAATAAATAATATTCTTTTTAGTTATTAAAAGATTTACTCGTTTTTTCGTTTATTTCTAAGTCAGAAAGGGCCTCTTTATAGCTTCTGAAATTCTTATACTGAAATATCTTATATAATAATTTCAGAAGCTAAAACATTAATTTTCTCAATTTTTGTTTTCTGGACATAACCGCATCGGATTCTGAACGACTCAATTATTTATCGCGAGAGCAGCTCGCGATCTCGTGATGACAAACAGGAATTCTTGCGAGGCACTTAATCTCAGCCACGCCGGCGTGGATTAAATCACGTTTCCGTTAAGCTACTCATCACGATCCACGCGATAAGAAGAATGATAGAATGGCAACAAACACTCGTACTCTAACGCAATAGTTTATCAATCGACCAAACTCATTCGATCTACTACTGGTTCAATGTTCACGAGGAATTATTATAATTCATATCATGGAATTTATGAGAGTGGTCGGTTACTCATGAAAATATTTCGCAATGCTCGGTCACGCGATGACGTTACGCAACGCTCGGAGGAAAAAAAAATCAGCAAGAATGATGACACTCATTCACAACAATGTGCACTTACACAGAACGCGACACGTTCATTCTAATCGGAGTTATTTAAATTTACTTCGGTCTACTTGAACGTAATGCAACCTTTCTGAAATTAGTTTTGTTATATCGTTCGATCTTATTCTTAATAATGTAAATGTTTTAATTACTCGAATGAAGTGATAAATACTTGAGTATATGTTGTGGTAGGTAATTGTGTTAAATATTTTACTGTGTATTTGTTTATTATTCGAACACTAGTCTTATTTCATTTTGAACAACATATCGGAAGTTTTAAATTGATTGTTAATTTTATTTTATTTGTTGAATAGTTTATTTTCGTGTGTTCTCGTTTGTTCATTTGTTGTTTTGAAAAATATAGGAAAGGAAAATATTAAAATGTTGTGTATATTAGTGAAGTGAATGTATTAATCAACGGAAAGTTTTTAAATATTCACATATTCCATTATTTCTGATTAAAAGCTACAAACATCTTATCATATTTATTTGTACGATATTTACCTAATACTTGATGATATGGTCCCAACTTGGGACTCCCAAGTTGCTAATCGAAAATGTTTTCCGGCACACATGACTAGAATTCTAATTAAAAACACTTGTTACATATATTATCGTACTGTTTAATGTGTCAAACAGATTTACAAATGTTTCAGTATCTCATTTTCTTATTTAACAATGAATTTCTCAGAATTGTGTTGTAACATGTATTTATTTGTTAATTGCATAAATGTTTATTAATTGCGAAAATTAATTTGGTATCTTTTTAAAATACATTTATACATTCATTTATGAAACAATAATTTAGTGTAAAGAAATAAAGCAGTGAACAACAAATATAAACAAATGTCTTTATTAATGTAATATAATACAATTTCTTTACCAATATGAATATAATAAATTTCTTTATTAACTATATTTATTAATTATATTGATCATACGTTATCTTTAAATTTATAAATTGTTTGTTTCAGACATCTGTCGATCACACCAAGCTGGACTATCGAAACGGAACGAACAAATTTTAGGTGAATCTATTCGAGAATAGTGAGCTTGCAGCAGCACAAACGAATCCACCCCAAAATAGTGTTTTCTAAACAAGAAAAATTGTTCTCCATAAACAGTGATCAGTTCTGTGACTAAGAAACGAACAAATATTTTTGTAATGAATATAGAATGCTCTGGTGTCAATCTATAGTTTATTAAAAGTTTCACAATCGAAACGTCTAATGTACACGTTGTCAACGAAAAGTGATATTTAAATTATAGAAAAGAAGAACAGTTTGCTTAAACGAATTCAAAAGTATTCTCGAAGAAGCCTGGTTTAAACTGCGCTCTGTTAAAAAGTCTGTGGTACAGCCGATACATTTAGGGAGTGTGTTAGAATCGAATTGTTCAAAATGCAGTCCTCACGAGTGAGAAGTGCACTCGTGCACCACAGAAACGTGCTACGAGTTATCAACGTTACACCGAGAACCTTTGGCACCGATGTACACTACAAACCCATCAGAAGCGTCCTCGTCGCGAATCGAGGTAAGTTTCTGATAAAACGAAGTATGTCTTAATCCCTTGCCTTATGATTTATTTCTTAACTACGATGGATACAATTACTTTATCGTTAACCCCTTGCCCTATAATATCGTGTCAGGCTCGTGGTGAAGATTTCAAATAGAATTTAACAAACATAAATATTATTTAATTTTTTTGAATACGAATTGGATATGTGTTGATTATTTTTTTGCTGTTGTTATAAAAGAATAGTAAAATGTTGTAATTAAGGGATGATAATTACAGTCCCATGGAAATCTATATTGTATTTTTGATTGTTTGAATAGCGACAGATTTTTTGTTAATAAAATTTCATAATTTAGAACTATCTTTTACTGCAATCTTTGAAAATTTTTTTAAATATACTTCCTTAAATGAAAAATGTGACAAATTCAGTTTTCGTTCTTTTTATATTATCGTAACTTTTTCCGTGTCAAAAATCATTTAACCTGTTGAATGCAAACTGAATACTGAGCAATCAAAAGGGTTAATGTAGGAGGTAAACTGAGTATTATATGAGAAAGTTGACTGAGGTTATTCTTGGACTTTTTTGAAAGCGATTTGACCTAGACATAAAGTCTAGTGGTGTCACATTGCAATATGACGCCTCTTCTGTTTACTAAAGCTCATCGTATGCTAGTCGTAGTAACATCCATTAAACGATCCAATTTAGTTGAGTAAAGATATGTGCCTTGACAGTTTGTCTCAATGAAAGAAATTCTTTATGAATAATTGAGACGTTTAGTTTAAAAGTGGTTTAAGTCCATTTTCCAAGAAAATCAAGTTAACACTAAAACTACCAGACTGGTCAAAACGATTCATTCTTGACGTATTCTTTTCGCAATTATTAAAAAAATAACAAATGCTTCTCTAAGAAATTATTAAAGAAATTGATTTAGTACCACGAAAACTGAAATGCAAATCAATTAACGTCTCAACAGATGTACTCTTGTAGTTTCTATAGAGAAATTTCAAAAACTCAATTTACTGCTTGGTAGTTTTATTGTCAATGTTTATGATATTAGGTTTACTGGAAGGTTCTGTCCGATAATGACATTTCAGGTTTCTAAAGATGAGTCATTCTATAGAAATGAAATCCACAAATTGACATCACGCTAGGAAGAGGTCATTAGTAACGATGGAATTTATGTATTTAAAAAATATATAATTTCAATATATTTATTAATATTTACTGAATAATATAAACACTTCTTATTAATATATACAATTGTTGTTTTAGTAACAAATTAAATATTGCATTGGATTTCGGATTAAATTCTTTCCATTCCCTGATAATATTTTCTTGAGCACGTGGGTGATAGAAAGTTAACCCTTTGCTCTCGATTTATTTTCGAAAATTTTAGGGAAACGAATTAAAGTAATTTACAGCTGTAGAATTCAACGTTTTATATTTATTTTATTTATAATCATTATTATAAGATTTAATTCCTATAATCTTTTAAAGTGTGCTACTTTTTCAAACAATTTCCAACGTTCTATAATAAATTTTGTGTCATTTCCAGCATAACATACGAGTGTAAAGAGTTAAATATTCATAAGTAATTATAAATGGAATATGTAAAATATAATTATTAAATTATTAAATGTACACTGTGCAATATTTTATATATGTGTCTCACTAAAGCAAGTCACTTTCGCTCGTGTTAAAAGTAAAAAGAAAATGATTAAAAGAAATTTATGTATAACTTAAGGCGTGCATCTGATGCCGGAAAAAAAATCCCCCCAAGGTCGTCTTAACAGTCATTCCCAGGTCCTCTATATTTTTTGGAGTGACATCTGTTTTTCGTAATGAGACGTTGCAGCTAACACGACTTTAACACTAGAACTAATGAGCAGTTAAGTTAACTTTTCAAAATTTTTCTGTAGGAACTCTAAGAGTTCTATCAATACTTCGATCATACATAATTTAATTTGTGTATTACTAAAACAATTATTTTCGAAATTTCTCAGAGGAGGATCTGTTATTTTTTCAATAATTATAAAAAAAAATTCAGGAATGGGCCATTTTGATCCATATGGTAGTTCTAGCGTTAAACTTAAACGTAGCAAAATATTCTGTGGAATGCTTTATCGTTTATTAAAAAATACAGTTTTTAATCAACCTCTTTAATGTAAATACAAACTCCTTTTTGTTGTTTTGCCCTACTTTTAATACCATCGGAAATACAATTGTTTAAACACTGATTATAAAGTGAGCAATAAATTGCAATAAAATGTAAGTAACCTGTTACAAAATATTTTAATCTTAATTGATTTTTAACTGATTCCTTAAGTTAAGCAATCTGTAAACAGCGTCACGATACCGCATAACATTGACCTTTTAAAACTTTGGTTCCATTCTACAGAGTATCAGTGAGTCAACTCACGACCCTTATCAGCATTTTCAAACGTGAAAGACGTAAATCTCAAGAAGACTGGCTTGGTGAGCTGAGACGAATGATAACAATAAATGACTCAATTTTCTTCTTTTGCTGTGTCTGGGCTTGATAACAATACTCAGCATACAGTGAAATGGATGACATATCGATATTTAACTTTCTTATTGTCTTTACTTTATGATGCAAAACAAAAAAGATGATATTTTTATACATTGTATACTATGTACTGTCAACAAGTAGTATCATTCATTTCATCGAAAATTCATGAAATATATTTAACATGGAACTTCTTAATGTAGCTTTTCTCAATGTATTTTCTTAATACATGGAAAGCTGATAATTATTAATGTATTAAATATTTATAATAATAATATTAATCGGTAAATATTTAATAAATATATAAATATAATTAATGATACGAATAATGTTTGGTGTTATTTTCTATAAATAACAAAATAATACCTAAATAGAGCTAAACGAAAATTGAGTGAACAATCCAAAAAGAATTATCGATATATTTAAGAAAGGCCTGGAATTAGATTAAAGAAGAACTGTTAACTCTTTGACTATCGAATCTATTTTGTTTCATTTTGAGAGCAAATTCAGTCAAAATCAATAACAAGATGTAAATTGTAACAAAATATTGAAATAACAGAATAATTACTACTACTTCTAATTCTCTTATTGCTCGGTGAGTTGGATACATTAATGACTGAAATCTTACTTAGTTTTCATCCACCTATTAGTAGATCTGTTTAAGATAATCTAGTAGATATCTACGCCAGTCGTATAAATTCATGCCCATTCCACTAATAAATATTTACATTTTATCTTATTCAACTAATTACGAATAATCGGATACTTAGAAACGGTAAATGTATAAAGATTGCAATCTAGCGATAAGCAGTAAAGAAAAAAGTAAGAATGTATTGACATGCTATTTTTTACGTCAGGTTACTACGGAGAAGTTCTATGTGCGAGTACATTTTAACTTATTATGTTTTACACATTGAATATCAGGTGAGACATATATCTGTCGTGGAACTGATTATATTAATATTTCAAAATTAACCTAACGAAGTATGTATTACGAAAATGTATGTTCATTAATTTGGATAAAATAAATTGGAGATAATTTATCTTATCAGTGATGTGGTTTTGAATGTTTTTTATACGTAAATTTGAGACACATGAGATAAATATTTCTATGATTGTGTAAATACACTGTTTGTAACCTTATTCAAGTATGATATGAACGCGAAAATTGAGATATATACAGTCGATAAAGAAATAATGATAAAATAATGTCACACGAAAAATAATTTATTACATTAATAAGAGATGTGGAAAAGATAAGAAAAATTAGTAAAAAGTTAAATAAACAATAAGGTAAAAAATATGATAGAAATTGAAGTGAAAAACATAGATGAAAAATGAGGTGAAAATATAATAGAAATTGAAGTGAAAAACATAGATGAAAAATGAGGTGAAAATATAATAGAAATTGCAGTGAAAAACATACATGAAAAATGAGGTGGAAAGTATGTTAGAAATTTCAAGGAAAAGCATAGATGAACAATGAGATAAAAAATATTAATGGAAAGTGAAACGAAAAGTATGAATGAAAAGTAAGATGAATCAGTAAGTTCTAGTACTAATTAATTCAACTATTCTGTAAGGTTTCAAAGCAAAGTTATAACAAATATTTATGAATCTGTGAAGGTGTCCAACGAACCTAAATTTCGTGCTCTTATAATCAAATTATAGTAACACCTTATAAGTAAATGAAAACGGAGAATTTCAAATACTACGAATGTGTTTAAAATTGACGAGAACGAAATGTTATGATGTTTGAAAAAAGAAGAACTGATCGTCCGCTTTCTATAGATATAATGCGAACAAAATCCATCGGCCTCAGCGTGGTAAGCATCGACATTCCGTAAGATCTTTAGACGAACGCTGATTTACCTGCTCACGAATCTTATGGACGGATTTCATACTCTTAAGCCTTGACTGAAGTGGTCATTAGAACTGAGCATCTACAAATTTCTCGACAATTGTACTTTATTACTGTGCCAATCGTTTCTCTTCTTCTTTATCAAGAAATTGTGAACAACGTTTTCACTTATCTGAATTATCCTTTCCTAATAATTCTTTCGTAATCAGGATTGTTAAACTTATTTTATTCTTAATTATTGTCTAAAAGAACATAATCGTATTGAATAAATTTACTGGAAGAAATAAAAATTAAAAATTTCCGTGAAAAATAAAAATTAAACACTACCGTAGGAAATAAAAATTAATATAAATTAATGAGTATCGAATACTCCTCAGTTACTTATAAATTTTAAAAAATGCTATTTAAATTTTGTGAATATTGAAATTTTATTGTATAACATGTCTCTATTAGGAAATCGTTAATGATAAAGTAATATTCGTGAAATGAAACAAATTACAATGGATAATATTAAAGATGCAATTAATTTCAAATACGCGGGACACCTTGTATATTTAGTTCAATGGAATGTTACCTGTAGCTGGGCGAAACTGTGCAGGATTAACAGACCTCTATAATAAAATGTTCTAATATTAAAGTGTTCACATAGGGGAGGTCCTACATTATATATCGCTTATTTTATTACTTTAATTATTGCCTGCGTCGCAATTTGCCCATGGTGCCGCTGTAAAGTCAAGTGTCGGTCATTTGTAACCCTCATAGCAGTTAGTGTGTTGCATAGTAATACTGAAAAATGATTTATTATCTTATTTCATCCACAAAATATTAAATAAATCTTTTCTGTGTTCTGAAATGTAATTTTCTCTGTATTCATTAAATTGTATGAAAATTACGTGATTATTATATGTAGTTTGTACTTACACAATTCATTATATACATTTATCGAACATCGATTAACCTTTTATTAGCCTATTAAAAGTTAGAAAATTGTACTACTGTAAACGTTTTCTAAACAGCTCTTCATCCAAGAATTGAATTTTGAAAGAATGGTATATTAGTGGGAAAGGTTTTTAATAGATTCGTGTAGAGGATCAAAAATAAGTCACAATCCATGGGTAGCTTTTGTATTTACATAAATTTCTGAGTAATCGATCTTGTAACACAAAACATTTTATTTGATTGTATTTATGGTTAAACAGCAAACAGGATACACATGGTTTTATTAATTTTAGAGTGTGATATTTTGATGAAGTAATTTCAGCTATGAATCTTACAATGTCTTAAAATAAGCTATTCATTTCTGTGTATTTTAATATACGATTATGATTAAATTATAATTAAATTATGATTAAATTTTAATTTAATTATGATTAAATTAATTAAATCAAGGTTTCTTCTAAATACAATAAAGCAGATATATATCACAATTTTAACAATCATTGGAAATATTTAATGTGATTCATTTAGAATTCATTTCTTAAAATTTTCACTCTATGTATTTCAGTTTTTTGTATACTCCGATTCATACTGTGTAACTCTTTTTACGCGATGACCATAGAAATCAAATTGTCGAAGAAAGAAATTGAATCTGTAATAAATTAATAATGCGTTGTTTTATTCGTCTGATATTACTGAAAGTTACGGTATGCACATTAATTGTGTACATTATAAATGAATTATGCATTTTCTATCAGATCGGGTATAATCTCGAAGCGTTAATAAATCTTGCCAGTTTAATCTCATACGAACGTTCGATTTGAAGTATCGTCGCATTATTTAGAACAAGGTCATGCGATTAATCGAACTGGATTTTTTTTCCTTTGTAATGAAGCATTCATCCGAGCACTTCGCCTAATTACAACGTGCTTTTTAGAATGAACTACACGATTCACATACAATGTGATATATTCATCTCCTATCTATGTATATCTTAACACTAGAAACGGTTAATATTCAGTGCGATTGATATATAATTATTATTACAATTGTAACAATAGATTATTTAAATTTCTAACGATATAGATTATAATATTCAAAGTGAAGGAATAATTTATGTACATATATATTTTCATATACAAAAATATTGATAATGGTAAGAACTATAAGAAGACAACCTTGAAAACAGTGTTTAATATGTATTTGTTTTTCGTTTAACCTGTACTTTAAACATTTTCTTATACTATCATTAACTCCTTGACCTGTAACATCGTGCAAGACTCGTGCTGATGGTTTTATTCAGCAAACATACTTACATATTAGTCGATTCTTTTGAATTCAAATTAAATGTTATTCTTCCGTTATCAGTTGTTATACTGGATAGTAAACATATACATAGAATGTGCCTAGAATTTTCTCATTTTTACAACAAATTATTGATGGCGAAATGGATGTGTCAATCATGGTTGAGAAAGAAATCATAGGGTAAGGGCTTAAAAACAATGGGGACATTTGTATGGATTCCAGCGATAAGTCTTCTTTATATGTCACACACTTTATTGCGTAATTTTTTACGTTTTAAGTTGAGTCTCTAGATACATATTCTTCCGATTGAGAAAAATTGTGTTCTTTCTGTGAGAAATCTAGAGAACTGTGGACATTTCTTTGAGGAACTTTAGTCTTTTAAGCAGAGTAATGAGTGCTCACGTAACTACATCGGATCAAAGTTTTACTATAAGCATATACAAATACAAAACCTTGATCTCAAGTGATCTTTGAAAGGCAAATATGTATTTGAGCACTGTGTGCGCACAACGGTAGACGTACACTTGAATTAATTTCCAATCGTACTTCGATGAGATGACGTTGGTATCCTTATTAAACCTTCTAATCAACCGACGGCTTCCGTCAGCTCTAAGAAGATGAGAAATTAAATGAAGACATTTTTGAAATTCAATACTTAAAACGAGATAGCTAACAGTTCACACTAGGTTTACGGGCATTTATTGTACAGTTTATTCTATTGTTCCGGGGGAAGTTGATATTCGTTCATTTAGATTTTGGAAATTGTAGATGTAAAAATAGACAATCAGGATTCATATTCGTGTAATTGGATCAACGAAAACCGATTGAAACATTTACCAAATAATGTTTGTAAAATTCAATCTGCGTCAAATTGACGGGTTCCGTAAACCTAGTGTTAATCATGTGTTAGTTAGCAGTTAATCAGTTATAATAAAACCAAAGACATTACAATTGATTACATTAATATGGTTTATCTGCAATGATCATGAGAAATTACAAGTAAAGGGTCAAATACAAATGACAAGAAGTTAATTCCATATTAGAAATTGCAGGTATACAACCAACCTCAACGAAATAGTTTCGGAGTTGGGTCGGTATATGCACATCTATCGCGCCTTTATTGAAAGGTTACTGCCTTTAAAAACTTTATTCTTTACGTTTCCCAGAAAAATGCTCAACTACTAGTCATTTACTAGCGCCTTTACTTTATCAAGCATTTAATATGACTAATTTGTAATCTCTATAAAGATTGTAATAGATTATTTTCGGTTTCTTCAGACATTCATTTTAGTATTCAAGTGAAACTATTTATTTTCAAAGTCATTTCGAATACTCTATGTTAAAATATCAATAATTGCGAAATAGACAAATCGAAATTAGTCATTTTGGTTGGTACGGTGGTTCTAGAGTAACAGTAGTGTTAATCGCGTTATACGGGGCCCCACTGTTTACTCTTCAATTTAGTTTTGCTCACTTATTAATAAATATAATTTGATATTGTGCAGGTGAGATCGCGATTCGCGTGTTTCGAGCATGTACCGAGCTGGGTATTCGTTCGGTGGCGGTGTATTCAGAGCAAGACAAAATGCAAATGCACAGGCAAAAAGCCGACGAGGCTTACATGGTCGGCAGAGGGCTGCCACCTGTTCAAGCTTACCTGAATATTCCTGAAATCATAAAAGTTGCAAAGGAGAACGACGTCGATGCCATCCATCCGGGTTACGGTTTCCTGTCTGAGAGATCAGATTTTGCGCAAGCTGTTATCAACGCTGGAATCAGATTCATTGGTCCCAGCCCTAAAGTCGTGCAACAGATGGGTGACAAGGTATAATTTCTTTTTCAAATTGTATTTTTAGGAAATTATTTTTGTAACGAAATTAATGGTATTAATAAAATTTCTAATGAGATTATGCGTATAAACAGGATATTTAGAATTAATAATAATATTATAGATTACTATTAACTTAATATTTATAGACTATTAGCGTATTCCTCAAACGCAGGACCAATGTAGCTAGAGCATATACTTTAATGAAAAACTAAAGCAAAATACAGAAGAATTCATCGTTGAAAGAATTAGTATCATCTCAAGCTTCAGGATAACGTGTGTACTTGTCGAATGCAGTTAACTGGTTAATAGATTATTAATAGAATTATTCGAATTAATATTAATTCATTCTAATAATTCTTATTTTCTTGTAAATGAAGGAAGCTACTGCAATTAGCAACAGAAATTAAATCTGTTAGTTTTTTCGAAAAATTGCAGAGAAATTACGGTCTAGCACATTACCTGCGTTTCATTAAAATTTAATTAAACTATTTAAAATTCTTATCGTGTAGTGTATGAATATGTTTATTTATATCCTTATCCTCTTTATCCCTTTGAAGAGGAATGTCGACATTTTAGTGATGTCTGCCCTTCATATTTAGAATACGAAGTAACAAAGAAATAATTCAATTCATATAACAGAAGATTGGATTATAGTTTTCTTTTTCTCTATTACTTCAAAGTTAAACATATAATTTAATTCTCTCTGTTAGAACTTTGGGATTCTTTGAAAAATCCTCGTCTGCAAACGATTATACTTTAGGGTTTAATCTTCATATGACATCTGCAGATTCATTTTGACCCCATAGTTGCCCTATTAAAAAATAATGTTTTAGTGAAGTAAGATTCTTTTGTAAACTTAAATTTACATTTGTATTAATATTTCAATGGGAAAAATCTGATTTGGTAAAGTTGACATTATATCTCCAACAAATCAGGTTGCTGCAAGACAAGCCGCTATAGAAGCTGGGGTACCGATCGTTCCGGGAACAGATGGACCAGTGACCTCGTCCGATGAAGCGGTAGAGTTTTGTATGAAACATGGACTTCCGGTCATTTTCAAAGCTGCTTACGGTGGAGGCGGCAGAGGTGATAACATCAAACATCGAAATTAATTAATAATATGTTAGATCCTATCGAAATAAACCTAGATGACATTTTTAACAATGAAATATAACATACGGTTACTAGAATTCAAAAAATCAATTTTTATTACGTGTAAATCTGTCCCTTGTAAATCTGTCGGTGAAGTATATTAGTATAATCTTTATTACGTAATTTTCAATTTATGATTAACTTCTTATAGTTTTACGTACTACCAATTAACAGTTTTTCTTATAAATTTTAATACGTGTTTCGAATTTAAACATAGATATTTTTCAAAGAAAATTAATACTACAAGTAACTGTATGACAGATAAAGTGATTTGAATATGAATACATAATTTCTTATCAAAATGACAAAATTACGTGTGTTGATATTTACCTGCATGTTTTTACATTTATGGTAATTGTGATACGAAACGTCATAAGTAGATTATTTTCATGTTAATAGTATTGTTGTGGAACTCCATTGTTGCATCTGATGTTACTGTACCTCGATTCAAATAAAATATCCCAATTTCTATAATTTAATCCTTTGTACTCGGTTCATTTTCAGTGTTGTTGGGTGTAAACTAGTATTTATTTTTGGGGAAATGAATTAAAGTAATTTACAGTGGCAGGATTCAATCTAATATATTTATTTTATTCACTATTATCATAGTATTATCATAACATCATCTTCAGCGTGACACACGAGTGCAAAGGGTTAATAAAATGGAAATTTTGTTTCATTCTGTAACGCAGTAGATAAAGACTATTAGTTATGGTGTTGATTTTTCAGGAATGAGAGTTGTAAGACAGATGGAAGAAGTCCGAGAAATGTTTGAACGTGCAATGTCGGAAGCGGCAGCTGCTTTCGGGAACGGAGCCATGTTCATTGAGAAGTTCATTGAGAGACCAAGACACATCGAGGTTCAATTGTTGGGTGACAATGCTGGCAATGTTGTCCATCTTTACGAACGTGATTGTTCCGTACAGCGTCGTCATCAAAAGGTCAGTGTCCGTGACAATAAAAGTCATCTATTCATACTTTACAATTATCTATTTCTTTATTATTTGCATATTGTACTATATAAAATATAGTATTACAGCATCCATATGTTATCTAGTTTATTTATTTATCTAGTTTAAAATATCACTTTGAAGAATAAATATAACAAATATAAAGGTATACGACCAAATGTGATGAAACAAAACTTCATTAATTAGACGATGAAGCAACACCAAATCATCTATTAGGAAAATACCAAACAATTTATAGAAAAATTAACGATTATTATTTTCATTAAATTTGCGAATCCAAAAATGGAAATATTTAATTCAATCGTTCCTCATAAACATTTCTGTTAGCAAAAATATTAAATCGCTAAAACTTTGTTGTTAAATTTTTGTTCAAGAATATTTCAAATGCAAATTTGGAGATATTAGTTATCAGTTTTTTTAATTTTTTTATAATATTTATTTTATTTTTACGTGTGTAGGTTGTGAAGTGAAAACCAAGTATTAATAACTATTATTATTATCGTTATTATATTTAATTATTATTTTATATTAACCTTATGTTAACGTCCCTTGTTTGGAGCTATTGATACTTACATGACGACGAACTACGGTATAGTTACTCTTTGTATAGAAACTTATCAGCTAGCTGCTCGCTGGTCCTCTCAGTTTATATTACTAAAACACCACGTGCTCATTAAGAATTTTAAAGAATCATATATTCATTTCTTCTACACTTTGTGAAGTGCCTGAACTAAACTTACGTGACTGACATATGCACATTGTACTATAATAAACTCATTTTGTATATCGATATTTTAATATCTTGTTTTTGACTCTTTCGAATTTCCTTTTGTATCTGTATTATATTATTTAATATTATATCATATCATACTGCATTGTGCACTTTCATAATTGGTTTCTAACATCTTATCATAACAAATCTTTTTATGGGTTGAACTTATATGTCTGTAGAGAAAGAAAAATTTGTTTGTAATATTTCAGGGAAATGTACGAAATTTTTGAAATTTTCTAGAAAGTAACAACATATACGAAATACGTGTTCTATCTGTTTACGGCTGCATAGTTTAATTAATTTAAGTCTTAGTTTTTCACTTTCAATTCAGTATTTATTTTATTGCATTGTGAAATATAAGTAATATTAACAATACATAACGGGTTTATATCATTTTAACTGTACACTGAATTATATAATCATCAATAAATAATCTGAATATTAGTTTATTTCGATTCAAATTTCTTCAAGGTCATGTATACTAGTGTTTTACCATCGTCCGCGATCCCCTGAACCATTTTCACGTTCGTATTTCTCTCAAAACGAGGCCAAGAACGCGAAACTCTGTAGCATAGTACGGCAGAAAAACAGATGTAATAAAATCTTGTAGGCTGACGTATTTGACAAAGCATCGTAAAAGATTGATATGGGCAATCTGGAGCTGGAATATTTTCCAGAGTGAAGGTCTTTCATCTGTCATGAAAAATAGAACATTGACCGATTGCATAGGTGTCTAGAAGAAAAGCGTTGGTCACAAATGTCTTAAGAAATTTTTCTTTAAAATAAACTTTCAAAAATCGTCAAAAACAGTCGTTTCTATATCCAATTTTAAATTTACAATCAGTGAATAATTTTCTTTTATCAAGAATTATTTATTTTTCAATTTCTTTAATTTC